CAAGTAAATTTCATCGCGTCTACTGCTTTCTTCAATGATGTCCACCACCACCGCCTCCGCTCGAGTATCCGTGTTTCTTTCCCCCGTGGTGCTCCTCCTTCTTTCCATAATCCTCGTGATGCGAGTAATGATCGTCGTGTCCGTGTTTCCCGTGGAACCCTTTATGATCCTCGTCGTGGTGTCCTTTGTCGAAGTGACCCTTCTTTCCGTGATGGTCCTCGTGATGCCCGGAATGATGATGGTCGCCCTTCTTGTGATGACCTTCCTTGCTCTCGTGGTGTCCGTGATGGTGGCCATGCTTCTCGTGATGGCCACCCTTGTGGTAATCGTCGTAAAACTTGTGCTCCTTGTGATACTCGTCCTTGTGGGACTTGTGATGATAACCGTGAGTCTTCTCGCCTTTCTTATGCCCCTTTTTGTGCCCGTACTTCGACCCTTTGTGCGCGTCCTCGTGCTCGTGATGGTGTCCGTGCTCCTCGTGCTCGTCGTGGTGCCCCTTCTTGTGTCCACCGTGTTCCTCGTGGTGACCTTCGTCGTGTTCCTTGCCGTAATGGCCGTGATCACCTTTGTCGTGATGGTGATCGTGTTTGTACCCTTTCTCACCCTTCTCGCCGTGCTCGTCGTGATGATGCCCGTGATGTTCGTGACCACCACCTTCCTCGTGATGGTGGCCGTGATGATGGCCACTGGCTGACATCTCCAAGTCCCTCTTGCTCCTCAGCTCTCTGGCCGTGGACAAGCAGATGATCGAACAGATCACGGCTAAGCCCAGCCAGCAACGCAAACTCTTTGCCATGTTGTTGGCTGTTTTGTGGACCAACGAGTGCTATCGACTGATCCGGTCGCTTCAAGGCAAAGCTTATATACCTACGCCGTCACAGTCGCGTTTCATACGTAATCGCTTTCGTTCGTTCGGACAGCTAGCCGTGTTTCTGTACACCGGCGCCGAGTGTTGTTCAAATAAACTTTTATCGGGGAATCAAATTTGCTTTTTTTTTTTTATTTTATTTGTTCGTTCGTTCGTTATTCCATTTCAATGTATTTGTTTATTTGTTTGTGCCCGACCGCTGGCCGCGTTCCATTTCGGTTCCTTATTCGTGTAATATCGCGATTACTCGATCGTTTCTTTCTCGTTCCTGTTAATCTCCTTTCTGCGACGAGTTTTGGAATATCCGTCGAATTGGAATTGGTGATTGAAGTATGTGTAGATATATTGACGCGGGTCTCTCGGTATGTCGTTTTTTTTTTTTTTTTTT